CATTCCAGGAGGGCAGTCTCAGTTTCATCGACACCAAGGTGGAAATCTCGGCTCTCCGCTTTCAGCTTATGCTGGCCCGAGTTGGGCTTTTGCCTCCGTTTTTCTGTCGTGTTGGTGGGAGTGGACCTGTTATTGCCCGAACGTTTTCTGTCTGCCTGCCTTACCCTTTTCTGATTCTTTGCTAGAGAGAGTAGATCCTTGTGGAAATTGGTTGTTGGTGTGTCCCGGTGGTTGGCTTCTATGGGAACCAGTCTGGAATTTGGAGGCAAAATCAGAACCGTAGGAACCCCCCGACAGACCAGTCCTCGGGCGACTCCTCCACTCGGTACGCTTAGAACAAGGGGTCATTCTCCTTTCTTATATCGATGGGCTCTCCCCTCCATCTTTAAAGTAACTAACTCACTGCTGCTGAGTCAATTCCAACGCCCAGTGGCCCTATAGACAGACGGGGCCACTCCAGCACCAGCCAAGTCATGAGAGTTTTCACGACCAAGGAAGGTGCCAATGAACTGCAAACACTTTCTAGTTGACCTTTGCCTCTTTCTGCGGGCTGCAGGTCTCATCTGCGTGGCTTGCACCATGAATAAGACGAGTGAGCAGCTCCTGAAGGGAGGCCTGATTAGCAAGGGGTTTGTGGGCCAGCCAACTCTGCATCTGGTTTGATGTGGCAAATCTGAACCAGAAACCCACTACGGACTGGATGCCTCTCCAAGCAGGATTCCACGGTCCCTTACCCCAACTCCCTACATCATGATACCGCTCGCTCTACCCCAGACCCATGGAGAAGGCAGGAGGTGTGGCCAGGGAGGGCAAAAATTAAACACAGGAAATGTCATGCGACTTCCTCTTTTATTCTCAGATGCTGAAGCGGGAAGACACAAGGAAACAGGTAAACGTCTGGGGGCTCTTTTCCATTCAATGAGCAAGTCCAGAGCAGCTGCTGGGTGCTGGGCCTAGTTCCGGGGGCCGGGAATTCAATGGGACCCTCCCTTCTTTGCTGGAGCCCGTGTTATGGCAGGCTCTCTCTGGCCAGCTCTGGCGCGTCTTTTGAGAGCAGGATGGGTCTCTGGATGCCCAGTCGGGAGGAGAGAGCCAACTCCAGGCTTTGCCAGACTCGATGGGCCTGTGCTGAGCAGGGCACACAGCCAGACAGCATGGCCTTGCTCTGAGCCTCTAGGGGCTAGTGATTCTCATCCCTGGCCTCCACTCCCCATCCTGCCCTGCCTCCTCAGCCTTCTCCTTCCTTGCCTCCCCTCAGACACGCTCTGGGAACTCTTTGTGGTCAGCACACAGGTCTGCCAGGAGAAATACCGCTGGGCCACTCACTCTGGGGTTCTGAGGGCAGGTCCTCTTGTGGCACGGCGGGGGCTGTGGGTAGAGGGCCAGCACTTGCCACAGAACATGGCATTTAGTCCTAGTCTCTGATGAAACCCTAGAAGGGCGGGCACCCCCTCAGAACTGCCCCTGACAAACCATGTGGCGCTTGATGCCAGCCCCCGCATTTGGTGCGCACACAGGTTTCTGAGTGAGCGATCCCAACTCGCTCTTCTAGATGGCTGCTGTCTGGGAGGATTTTGTGGGCGACGGGCATAGGATGAGGGTCAGCTCGGCCTGGGGGCTCTTCCCCAGCTTCAGACCCTTGACCCTAATTCATGTCCAGACCAGGCAAGGCCAGTCCATCTGTCCGAGGACAGATCCCCATCCTGCTTTTCTGCAAGTTGTTTAGCTTCCTCCATGCCTGAGGCCGAAGACCCAGCGGTTCTTGGCACGAGCCTTCGAGGCCCGGAGAGCCAGCCGCAGCAGAGGGGGCAGTGGTGCTGCGTGGGAAATGTTGGCAGAGCTACTGAGAGCGGCGGGTGGTTCTGCCCTGCGACAGGAGACACACTCCATTGATGCGTCCTGTGGGCTCCCAGGGGACTGGCCCAAAGGCACACACATGTAAATGGGAGCTTAAATTTAACTCTATGTAAAGGAGGGCTCAGCTGCTAACCGAAAGGTTGGAAGTTCAAACCCACCAGCTGCACCGCGGGAGGAAGATGGAGAGAAGTAGCCATCTACTTCCATAACGATGACAAACCAAACAACCCCAAACCCAGGGCTGACAAGCTGACTCCAGCACATTGCACCCTGTCCTCTTGGAACCCACGGGGGCAGTTCGACTACGTTCTATAAGGTCCCGGTGAGCCTGAACGGACTTGCCCATCCTTGGTTTTGGAAAAGCCTGGGATTGTAGAGCACCAGCCCAGGGCACCCAGGGGGGTGGCAGCTGCTGATTGGCGTGCTTGGGTTCCTCCTGACCCGGCAGTGTTGTTGTTTGGCTGCACAGTGGTTCTGGTTGTGTGTGTATCGAACTCGTTTGCTTTTTTAAAAGATTGGGCAGGGATGGGTCTATGTTCCTACCTAATCACAATTGGCAGGAACCAAGACAGTCCCTGCCCTCATACCAGACTTGACCTTGCCTTCACCTGGCTGATTTGCATTTAACACCGTGCAAGCCTCTCAGGACGTCTGAGTGGGATTCTGGGACTATAATGTTTGAAATCCATCCAGACCCCTCCAAATGACCCCCTGGTGCCCTGCTCTCATCTCTCACTCTTCCTCCTTCTCTCTGGGTCTTTAAGATCAAGGTTTGATCGTCTCTCCCTTGTGTGAGGCCCGCTGTGCAACTCAGAGGGGTTTCTTGGTGAGAGTGCCAGGGGCGCTTCAAGCTACACAGCACCCAGCATGCGAGGTTCTCAGTGGGCTGGTCCCACTGAGCCTGAGTGATCAAAGCCCACAAGTCTAGCTCAACAGATAGAGTGCGTATGAGGCTGGGTGCTGGGCAGGAGAGAGGGTGGTGGCCAAGGACTCTCAGACCAGAGAGAGGCACAGCATAGCCAGGAAAGGACTTTTGAGTATCCAGAATTCTACATTCCCATCAGATAACCAGATATGGTCTCCCAGGAATTGGCAAAAGGGGACAGAACTCAATGGGAGGCACAAGAAAAGCCACTTTGCCAGAAGTGACCAGATGGAACAGCAGGGGAGGGGAGCAGCAAGATCCCCAGGGAATGATGAGGGTGGATATTGGGGACAGGGCATGGTGCTCCAACAGGCTAGACTGGAAAACACAAGCTTTTCTTTCTTGGTATATTTTAATTTGTTTTTTTGCCAGTGGCTTGATGTTGCTGCTGTTTTGTTGTACATTGTTGCTTGGTTTTGCTCTGTCTTGTTTTTGTGCATGTTGTTGTCTCCGCAGGTCTGTCT